CAAAATTATTAAATTGATACTGCTCCTTCTCATGCAACAACATGATAAAAAAATTATCTTTGAAATTACCAATAAGATAAGAAGATGGGTTATTAGTAGTGTGAGTAGTTTATTTATTCAAGTTAAAAAAAACTATATGCTTGGTAGTTTAGTCCTTAAACGTTTGAACTTAATTTGAGGTTAGCTTTGATGAATATGTTTATGGTGATTGCTTTGGGGTTTCTTTATGAACTTATTTATCAATTGAAAGCTGCATGATTGTTGATTGTTAGTTATTGCTAATGAACTTTACATCAAAACTTGGTTATAGTTAGGTTGGTTAAAGTGTTTGCTAATTTGGGGCATGGAATTGGTAGGACACACTTAAGTAGTTGTGATACCAAGTAAATATGGTGGTGGCTATATTGTTCTTAGTTGCCATATGAGTTCATACAAATTAACTCAAATGGTAACTTTGATATACGTGACAACCGAATAGTTAAATGAGATAGAGTTATACTAGGAAGTTAGGAATTGATTTAGTGGCCATATTAGGTAATTTTAGTTTGTTTAATTTTGTGGTAAGAGTTAACATTGAGTAGCAATGCTTCAAATAGTAATTTATTTAAGCTCTTCGAAATCCTCAAGAACTAGATTTTCCAAAAGTTGCTTGCAAGTGCAACTCGGGTTCAGCTTTGAAGCTATTCTCCAGTTTTGAATGCACTATTTGCATCTCCGACCTCTCTACAATTCATCATCTGGTCAGGTCTCTTTGTTGTTGAAGAGTTAAGTCGTAACTGTATAGTTTTACAAAACAAAATTGTCAACAATTGCACCCCGTTCTGAACCTTTTTGTTGATGTTGTTCAACATATAGAGTGTACGTAATAAAATTAGTTATATGTTCACTATCATCTCAAATATTCATCCTATACTTAGATTTAGAGCAATAAATGCAAACGTTAGAGGAAACGTATATGAAAACAATTGAGACGTATTTGTTCGACTAAAGAGGTAAATTAATTTCATTCATTTCCATTGAAATAGTAAGAAATTATCCCATATATATATGATATATTGTTCATATTTTAAATGTATCTTTACATTAGAACATATCCCATATTTGAGTTGGCCCTTTTGATAATTATGATTAACATGATGGTGAAAATTGCAGGGACTCACTACATTGTTGCTTATCTTATTTAAAATATACCGCTTGGACGCCAAATCGAAAGCATTGCATTTTCCAGTTACGTACTTTTGACAGATCTCCAACATGCTCTCACCATTCAAATCAAATAATTTCAATGCACAATTTGTGTCATGATCAACAAGGAAGATAAATTAGAAAACTATTTCGTGGATATATTGAAATCCATCAAAGAACAATCATTTTCTTCTAAAGATTGATGATGTATGTATCAAAGGAAACAACTCTTATGTTGTCATTTATAGACTTTGTATATAAGCGACTTTGTTTGTAAACATATATGTCACTGTAAGTTGCATTTCTTTGTCAGTCATATTGTACGTCTTTCTCATGTTTTCAATACGTTCTAAGCATATTTGTAGTGTAGTGTGAGTATTTGCCTATATAGTTTCATGAGTAAATACACAAACAAAACCCACATGGTGAATTTGAACTATGCATACAAATTATATAGCTTTCAACTCCCCGGCCAATAGGCCGGGCTTTGTGCTAGTAATAATTATATATGTTCTAACAATCAATATATATTCTCTCAATAATTTTAACGCAAATATGCCATGAATTTCTCATTCCTTTCACCTTTGTCTTCCCAAACCGGCCTAACATAGAATTGATTGCATAATAAAAAACCCCTTGTTATGAACAGTAACCCAAGTGTTAAATGGGGTTCTTTCCATTAAAATCGTGGCCTTCCCTATTTTGTGGTGTGCAACAGTAGATTAAGCTTGCCAATTAATATAATTAATAATTAATATATGGTTTGTCTTCATTAGGCAGGCAGAGTTCGTTGGAGATTTATGAGCCATGCTGTTCGGTCTGCTCAGGAGGAGAAATGATTAGGTTCAACAAGTAGCTCATTTCAAATAAGACCTTTTGTTTTGGACAAGAGGCTTCTGGTTTTAGTCATCTCTTTCCCCAACTCTATGTAGATGTGGGTCATTTTGTTTTGATTTGCTGTGTATGCTTTGATTTGAAAATGCATGGGGTAGTATGCTGGGTGATTTGGTTAACATGATAAAATAGTCAAACATTTCACATTATTGCCAAACATTAATTTTATCCAGTTTTTATCAGAACATCCATATTAGTAGTATTTGTTAATTTTTATATTTTACATGACACTTAATATGCAATTGGAAGAAGAATTATATCAATATAGTTGGTGCTTGTAAGATACTCATACTCGAATAGATGCAAGGTTGCACAAAATGAAATTGAAAATGCAAGACACATAGAAAAATAAAAAAAAAATATTTTTCCTCTCATAATAAAAAGAAATTTTTTGTCCAAAATTTCAAATATTATTTGGATGTAACGAATATTATTCGTGAATCTACGTGACAATATGTCTAATTCTGCCAATGTTGCCGTTAATTTTAAAGAAGAACAATATAATTTTCTAAATATATAGAAATTTATGTTATATTATTGGCAACTCAAATATTTGACATTTTGTTTAGGAACCCATATGATAATTGTGGACCTGACAACCAGGTCGGGTTGGATTATTTCGGATTGATTTACTTAAGGTTACTGTTTATAGCGAACAAATTTTGAATCGTACTCTTGGCGGCTGGCACAAGAAATGATGAAAGTTTTGGATGGGTGAATGAGAACGGTTTGACTCGCTAACCTGCCCAATCCTACCCTAAGATAAGTGTTGGTCACTCGGTTTAGGGTCATTCGAGTTTCGGGTGGCCAAAATATCAACCCAATTCTAATTTTGCAGGCGGTTTCAGGATGTGTCAAATAGTTAGGACCTAAATTGCTAGGTCTAGATAATTGCTTATAAAAACTAAGGGAAACCCATTGTCATTTAATCACAGAGCCACTAAGTTAAGTTCTGAATCGCTATTCGTCGTCCTAAAATTTAAATTATTTCGCACTAAATTATACTAAATTAACGTTTATACCCCTGTGCAATATCAATTACTAATCGCTAACTCCGATTGCAGTTTAACCCACCAACCATCCGACCACCGCTGCCATTCCTCGAACCCACCGCCGCACCCATTTCCCCACTCCGCCGACCTGCTGTTGCTGAGGAAGGAAGAAGACTCCATAAGGTTCTCTCGCCATTTTTTTTCTTCTTCCTCTTCTTCCTTGTCATTCAACAACCAAAAGGTTTCCTTTCTCTTCTTCCTCCGTATCCCTACCAATTTTACTCCATAAATTCTCTTATCGATCAATCATTATCCCCTGAACTGCCAAAAAGCGACGATTGGGAGGGAGGGGTTCCGTTTCGCTTTCTCCCATATTTAGATGGCGGTGGGTGCAATGGCGATCGTCGTCGGAGCCGCGGTGGTGCTGTACTACTCATTGAGTCGGAGATTGGTGGCCAACGGCGTCGGGGTTAATGGGGTACGGCGACTAGGGCGATGGATTGGCGACGGTTTTGGGTAGAATCCTCTGTTTGGTATGTTTAGGCGAAAATTTTAAAAAATTAAACGAAGGATATTTTAGTAATTTTAATAAATATTAGGGCGACGAATAAAATATTTTAGGGCGATGAATAGCAATGCCCGTTAAGTTTAGTTGGTTAATTACTTAATCTGGAGGGAGTTTGAATGCATGTTCCTCGTTTGAAAGACTCTTCTATGGAGTTTGTGCCATGCCCTGAATTGACTAGATTCATGTTCATGGTCGAGTGAGTATTTTTGTTCTAACTTGAATTTTAAAACAACTCGTTTGTCTCCAAAAGAAAAAAAAGAAAAAAAGAACAACTTGTTTGAATAGTTTCTCTGCTGACTTTGCATAGTTCCTCCAACTCTCTCTCCCCTGTTTCTCGATCTACCAAAGATTCTCAATCTACAACTATTAGTACCAAGTATTGAACGACCACCCTTTACAGTTACTAACATATATAGATACAGATAGCGCACAGTTGATTTTGTTTTGGGAAGGCTAGTATGGAATAGCAGTACTTAGTTACAGAGCACATTCTTCAGAGCATCACATGGCTTCCTCTGCCGCCCCCTTACCTAGGCTAGGCGGGTTGGTTGATTGAACCCAAGTCTTCTCTCTCTCTCGCCCATGTACTAACACTAGTTTATGCGCAGAGGAACTTTGAACCAGACTAGTTTATGGTTCGATTGATTTCAAATTCCCACCATCTCGATCTCATTCTGCTTTTAGTTTTGCAAAACAGAGGCCGAGTTTGGTTACTGTCTGTCCGGTCCCTGTTTTCCTCCCAATGGCTGCTTCTGAATTTGATGCTCCGCTCACTCAAACTGAACTAGTATGCAGCCATTACTGTTACTGTACTGTATAAGATGGCTGGCGTGGGTTGGGTTGCATAGCATCATCATCACAGTTCACGAGTCTCTGTTTCTGGTGACAGTAATATGCAAATCAAATCGTCACTGCTTCACTAGTACTGTTCATTCGGAATCTCCAGAGAGAGAGAGAGAGAGAAAGAGAACAACTTTTGTATAATTGATCATCTTCAACTCATCATCAAGGTATATAAAGCTTTCTTCTTTTAAGAAACACAAATTAGTGAAACTGCAGGGGAACCCATGACCCAACTCTACTGTTTCTGGCCACTGCTACTGCTAAAGAGAGTCACTCTCACTCAAGATTTAATCAAATCACCTTTCTTTTCCGGGTTTTGATCTACACTAACCTATCCTGGCCGGTCATATTTAGAAATTTCAAAATACAGAGAGCTTACAATTCTTCAGTTACCTCTCTCTCTCTCTCTGCGAAAAGAAAAGAAAAAAAAATCCCAATTAAGGGGATAAAACAGAGATGCTATTTAATTTCAGTGATTAGTACTTAAAAAAGGGGAAAGATGCCCTATTTCCCTCCGGTTAAGTAGCGGCGGCTACGGAGCTTCTGCTGCTGGGGTGGGCGGCGAATCGGGAGGAGAAGGCGCAGAACTGGAAGTAGTCCTCGTCGTCGTCGAGCAGGCTCCGTTCGAAGTTGAGGGAGTAACTGAGCGGGTCGTACCGGCATTGGAACGTCTGCTGACGGCTGGATCCTGCCGCGGCGGCGCGTATCATCATCCTCCCTTGCTTCCTCAGCTTCCTTATCAGCTTCGCCAGGCACCCGCAGCAGCAGGGCGTCCTCACTCCGGCGACATTGTGGGTTTCGGCCTCGGTGGTGGCGGTACAATCGACGGCGGCGGTTCTGGGCCTCTGCCACAAGTGGAGCCAAGCTTGCGCCATTTCTCTTTCAATTTTTTTTTTTTTTTTGCTTGTTAATGAATGTGGGTGGGTGTGTGACGCTGAATTTAAGGAGAGGGAGAGGGAAAGAGAGGAAGTCTGTGGGGGAGAAGAAGATCCGGCTGCTTGCTGCTGGAGAAGGAATGCTCTGAGCCTGAGGGGTGCTGTATATATATTATATATAGAGCGGAGAGTTTGGGACCATGCACGCGCTTAGGAACGGGCGTGGAGGTTGGAGCTGAGTTCCTCCGTTCTTTGGATTAGCAAATCGGTGAACTTGCAAATATCATGTCAAGTGGTGGAATTCGAAGCATGATCATGAACCCATCATCTAATCAAACAAATCTAAAATCAAATTTCAAGATTGGAGCACTCGAGTCTAATTGGGTTGCGGTGAATACAGATAGCTCGGTTAGACAACCGAATACGAAAGTGGCAGCGGGTGGTCTCATCAAAAATAATACAGGTAGATGTATTGACTCTTTCGGAGCCAATCTTGGAAAATGCACTATTACTAGAGCTGAGATCAAAGGAGCAATCATAGGCCTAGAACAAGCTTGGGCTCAAGGATATAAGCATGTTATATTGTATACATACTTTATGACGGCTTACCAGATGCCGACTTCGACATATCAAAGATAAACGATGTACTTCAATCTCATTCACGAGTATGCAACAAGTTGGGAGGTGCGCATATCCCACACATACAGAGAATGAAATAAGGCGACAAATTATCTTACTTACCAAGCTCAATCCTCTAGTTTAGGCGTTCATAATTTTGATATTATAGATTGAAGACTGAACTAATTTTGGTTACTAAATGATGCCATGGGCATTGCCCAAAACCGTTTAGTTTAAGTATCATACAGGGGCGCCCTTATAGCATCCCACTTTAAAAAAAATCAATAAGCAAATAATACACTCTTTCAAATTCGTAATGCCAACAATTTCATCCTATGTTTAAAATTTCCAAAACCATAATTTTCCAAAATTCTCAATTTTAAAATCCACGAAAGCAAACGGCTCCTTGAGGATTGAGGATACCTAATTAAGTGATTGAGGAAACTCCCTAAATTATTTTGTCATAACTTTTTTTTATTTTATTCAAAGGAGGCACGAGACAAAAAAAGAAAAAAAAAGAAGAAGATGTATATGTAAACAAGAAATAAAAGAACATAAGAAGGATGGTGGACTCGCTCATCAATAGATCAAGCTACGCAATACAAACATTCAAAACAGAACAAGTGAAAAGAAGCGTTCAAATGATCTCAATATCCCAATTCATTTTTTTCATGCAACTAAAACATAAATCAGAGGTCTACCTATATCCTTAAATGTGTCACATACATTTATACCTCCTGCATCAAAGTCTACATAGTATATTGAATACCCATACCGGTAGAGAGTAGAAACCGGTAAAGATTCCAACAATAAATTGAAGAAATGGAAATACGTTTGCTGGTCCAAATAACGCCCATAGCTGGTAATAAATTCTTACTATGTCATCCTTCCTACCATGGGACGGACACCTAAAGTATGCGGGTAAACGTGTGCAGAGGCAATGTACGTGATGAATTTTTTTTTTATTATGAATAAGTTGTTTTATTCATCAAGAAAGGGAGACTTAGTAAAAATCCCCCTAACTAGAACCCAAGCAACAAACACAGTACAACAACAAGAAATCAAATTACAACTGCACAACACAAAGAGATCAAATCACCATCTAACTATACTATTGATGTAGTCCTCGGTTATGGCAAGCTCTACTTGAGGAAATCCACTCCTTAGTAGCTTCAGCAACCCTTGCAACTTTCTAAGCAATTTGCTTTCAGTCATCACTTCCCCAGTCATAACCATCCTGCATCTTTCAGGCCAAAGCTCCGCCACCACCATCACCCAAAGAAGCCTACCACAGTGAGAGGCAGTACAATTTAGCCGAAAAAGAGACATGGCAATCTCCAACGACCCCTCCCAGCTAGCACCTACCATATTCCTTCCTACAAAAACAGCCTGAAGTACATGATGAGAATAGGAACATTCAAAGTAGAGATGATCTCTAGACTCTGCCATAGAGAAGCATAAAGGACAGACATTTACTAGTGAATCATTCCACCTCTGCTTGTCTCGAGGAGTCCCAAAAGATTATGTTCAGAATGACTAACCAAACAATCAGCTTGTCTCTAGGAGTCCCAAAAGACTTTCATACCAATGAATACCACCGAACTTTTTCATGCTTAACCCAAAGTGTTTCCCAGACTCGCTTAACTAAGAACTTATCCATCACGCTATCATCCCAATACACTCCTGCAGATATGATCCTGAGATGCTGAGCTACTTGTGGTCTTACTTTCAGTACCTTTCTCCAAGCCCAGGAACAGGGAATGGAAAGAGATATTCTCCAGATGGAAGTGTAGGTAAGTTGGTAGTGCCTTACCCAATTTGCCCATAAAGAAGAGGAATTCAAGGATATAACCCAAAGGTGCCAGACTAGACACGCCATGTTCCAGCTTCGAAGGTCTTTAAACCCTAATCCACCCTCCTTCTTAGGCCTTACTACCACCTTCCAGAGTACCTTAGCTTTTTTCCCTTCTTCCTCTGAGCTCCATAAGAAATCAGAGGAGGCTTTTTCAATCATCTTAAGTACTTTGACTGGGAGTTGAATGATCCCCATCCAATACTGAGTGATACTTGAAATGACAGCAGAGATGATCTGTAACTTGCCAGCATAGGATAAGGTTTTCACCTTCCAGCCCCTGATTCTTGCAGTTATCTTTTCTACCAAAGTAGTACAATCTGCATTATTCAATTTTCCAGCAATAAGGGGAATCTCCAGGTAACGTACATGGAGATGTCCAAAGGCAAACCCAGTACTAGAAGATATGAGTGCTTGAACACTAGGATCCACTCCTCCACAAAAGACTTCACTCTTGGCAGAATTACATTTTAACCCAGAAACAATATAGAAAGAATCCAGAATAGCTTTTTCTTTCCCCACAGCCTCAGGAGTCCCCTTTGTGAAAACCAGGAGGTCATCAACAAAGTATAAGTGGGAAAGCCCTATTCTGTGTGTTTGTGGGTGAGGAGGAAGGGTTTTAACAACATATACTCTTTTAAGCATGCAGGTTAGAACCTCCATGGCTATGGTAAAAAGATAGGGGGATAGGGGGTCCCCTTGTCTCAACCCTTTCTGAGCAGAAAATAGCCACAAAGCCTCCCATTAAAGCATACACTAAGCTTAGTACTCTGCGGGCAAATTCTAATCCAATTTATGAATTGAGCAGGGAATTTCATAGCTTCCATGATTGTCTCTAAGTAATTCCAGTCTACAATATCAAATGCCTTCATCACATCCACCTTGAGAGCACACCTAGGGGATATAGACTTCCTATTATATAACATAACCATCTCATGAGCCAATAGGACATTGTCACTGATTAATCTACCTTTTATAAAAGCATATTGGTTCTGATTAATGACTAGAGGAAGGGCTTCTTTCCGTCTATTAGCAAGAACTTTGGCTATACATTTATATAGTATGTTGCAATAGGAAATTGGTCTAAATTGCTTCATACAATCAACATTTTGCACCTTAGGAATGAGGGCCAGATAGGTGGAATTTACCTCTGAAAGTAGCTTCCATGGCCTAAAGAAATCCATGACTGCACCAGTGATCTCATCACCCAAAATCTCCCAATTATGCTGATAGAAACCAGTTGTGAAGCCATCTGGTCCAGGAGATTTCTCTCCATTCATGGAGAACATAGCTACCCTAACTTCTTCTCGAGATACTAAGCCACAAAGAGGTTCAGCTTGTTCAGAGGTGAGAGTATGGACCAATAGCTGGGATATCAGACCACTACTCACTTTCTGAACATCATGATTCCTTGTACCCAGCAAATTACGATAAAATCTAACTGCCTCCTCACTCATTTCCTTAACTTCAGTTAGGACAGTACCCTCCTCTGAGATGACCCTTTTAATAGTTGAACGAGCCTGACGAGCTTTCACAAAATTATAGAAGGAGGTATTTAAGTCTCTAGTCTTAACCCAAAGGATTCGAGACTTTTGCCTGTAAATAGCCTCCTCTTCTTTAAGAAGGCCAGACAGCAAAATCTGACTTTCATTTACTTTTTGGAAAGATTCAGGGGAAGGCTGAAGGAGGGCCTCCAGGTGCAAATCTTCAACTTCTCTCCTTGCAAGTTTCACTCTGTCTGAAATCTCTGAATAGGAGGATCTATTTAGCTGTTTCAACTTCCTTTTAACCTCTCTCAACTTCTGGCACACTATAAACATAGGAGTCCCCCTGAATTGTTTACTCCAAGCATCTTTTACAATCTTCTTGTATTGAGGATGAGTTTCCCAGCTACTGAAATACTTGAATGGCTTAGGCAAAGAAGAAATATGAATGTCTGTATTCATAAGCAGCCCACAGTGATCAGAAAGCCTTGGAGGAAGGAGGTTAACTGCATAGTGTGGAAACACAGTCAACCAACTAGAGTTTACAAGAACTCTATCTATCCTCCTTGCAATAGGGTTCCCCTCCTGCCTGTTAGTCCAAGAAAACCAAGGACCTTCAAAGTTACTTTCCTCCAATTCCATACGAACAATCCACTCATCAAAATCCACCATACTCTGTGAACGAACTAGATTATTAGAAGCTTCATTAACACTGCGCACCGCATTAAAATCTCCTAACACTAGCCAAGGTAAAATTTCTGGCTTAAGTAGAGGGCGATGAAACAGATTTCTTCTAGCACCTTCATCATTTGAGCCATAAACAAAGGTGATCTTTGCAGTCTTATCTCCCCTTACTACTCCATGCACGAATTGCTCTAATTTCTCCAACATAGTAAAATCCAGCCCTCTTCCAAAAGACCCATAACCGACCTAAAACTGAATGATCATAGTTTCGAGCAAACTCCCATCTATCAAACTTGGAATCCACTATCTCTTTAGATTTTCCTTCCTTTACCCGAGTTTCAATGAATCCAAACACATCCACT